CTGTACTTCCTGTTTTATCCCTCTCTGCTTTTCTTCATCTTTCTTTTTTCATTCTTAATTAAGTATGAAACTGACTCCACTGCAACAGAGAAAGAAACCAACCAGACAAACTGTAGCGCCTCAATAAGAAAATCTAACTAAAGTGGGGGTTTTTTTGTAACTCGATGTTGTTTGATGAGTGGACTGGCTGCAAATCAATTTCCCATTGGGGACATTAAAGTTACCAAACAGTGTTTGCATGTGAAGGCCATCACAGTGGTGGGAGCATCAAGCTGTGGGAATAATTCAGTGTTTCTGGAACTGGGAATCATGCCAGTGGGTGGAAGGAATCCTGAATGGATCTGTGAAGCTTCTGAGCAAACCTAGGTCTGGTTTGTTATAATAACAATAATAATACATTTTATCTATAGGTGCCTTTAAGAGGCTCAAGGTCACCTTACAATAGCACAAGAACAATCGCAACAATACAATATAAAAAACATGGCAAAATAACATTTAGACATAAGGTAAATAAGAAAAACACAAGCATGAAAGTATAAAAGCTGAGCAAGTAAAACTGGACTAAGACAGAGCGGCTGTATGCAATTCTGAATAGATGAGTTTTGAGATGTGATTTAAAAGTGGTTTGTGGTCAGGAAGTTCTGGTGGAAGTGCATCCAAGTGCATCCACCACACAGGCGGAGCAGAGTGGGGTTGTTAGGCCTGGGGTTCAAGCTTGACAGGAAGTGCTTCTTGGAGCTCTACCAGGGCCCAAAATGCCTGGAATTATTTAGAAAAAAAGAGATGCCCCAATACACACCACAGGGTCAAAGGTCACATACTTGTTGTTTTTCAGTGTTTAACAGTTCATACTTTTTGGCTGTTCTAAATCTTTTATTCATGTACATTCTGAGTGCCTCATTCAATATAAACTGTCAAATATTTGTGTTTTTCTCTTATTATCCCTGATAACACTCTTATAGTTTACAGTAGAGCAACACAACTACCAGATGTTGAAAGAAATAGTCGTCCTGACAAAGGGGACAAAAACTCTCAGATGATTTTAGGACACTTTTACAGCTGAAACAGCAAAATGATTCCAGGCGGCCGGCTTAACATGATCGATGTTATTAAACCCCAACTTGCTCTTTATTGCATCTGTCAGAGGTAAAACGTGATTGGTGAACGAGGGATGCTTTGAGTGCTCA